CTTTTAATTAGTTTGTAAATAAAAAAAAGTTTCTGCAATGCTAGGTAATCATACTGTATCTCTGCTATCAAACTAAAAAAAATGGCCGAGCGGTGTGAAACCTCATTTGCATTTAAAGAGACAGCACCAAAACAAGTTGCTCAGACCACCTCAGAACAGGGGTGAAATGAGGGGCTTGTGGAGTTATAATATAACAACAGATTCAGACCAAATCCTTGCAGTTCCACTTTATTTAAAACTGAATGATTTAAATGTGAAAAAGGAGGATTTAAAAGCATGAAATGTCTAATTTAAGTCTACTTTGACTCAAACTACAACAGCTGGTTCAGTCTGGTATTGATGAACCTCAACACTTAATTTCACCTCTAATCTCTTTGAAGGTTTTTTGGGGAGGCTCCTTGGTTATCGTTTGAATTATTCGTCTTTATAATTTGTCATTAATTTGTCTCCTGCAGCAATGTTCAGGAATGTTGWTTACAACCCTGTGGACCTTAAATGTCTGAATAACATGCAGTTTGAAAAAAATCAAGCTGGGTGGAGATGGTCTCAAAGCCTCTACCTTCAACATGCTTGTAAATTATTTTCTCATAAAGTCCAGAGACAACTGTGCTCATAGTTTTCTGTGGTTTATGTTTTGTGTGGTAAACACTGATACCAAACAGCACAGTCACTAATTTTCACCCTCTAGGCACACCGACTGATTACAAGATTGAAAACCCCTGTGATGCTGATCACGACACATCTTAGTTCAGTATGTTTTCTAGCTCTACCATCCTTTATGTCACATTCGATTTCAAACATGTTTTTAATGTAAAATAATTCTGTTTCACCAAAAGCAGCGATACAGTAGATATTTGTTTGATTTGCGCTAACCTTTTTCTTTTTATTACTTATGTCAGTTTGAAGTTAGTTCCATGACCTTTGTGGGTGTTTCTTGCTCTAACAAAAGCATGTGAACAAATTAGTTTTCATCTGTATTACACGTCTCATTGACAGCAGCGCTCAAAGTTCCACCGGTGGGGATTTACGGCACGCAGCGCGCTGGTCATGCGGCCACACCAGCAGCATACTAACCAGCCACCGGCTTTTGTTCGGAACGAGACATCAGATGTTGTGAACGCCTCCCTCTAAACGGCCCCCGTTCAACCCTCTCAGGCTCGGTTGTGTCTCAAAGAGAAAAGAAGCAGAAGTCTCTAAAATGCTTCAGTGGACTTCAATGTGGACGTCCATCTGACACATTTTCCTGATGTTGTCTGAATGGGACGCATTCTTGGCTCATTGTGAGAGCGAGCGGACAGAAAGACAGAGATGTAAAAGGAGCTAAAGGACGAGACTGGCAGACCTACATTACGCCCGGTCACTAAGCTGTCACTTTGTTCAAACCAACTGGCCTCCTGGTCATCGTGATGAGGAACAATGGGCCCCTCGGCCCACATCTTCTGCATAAGTGCAGATGGAGGGAAACATGAAGATCCCCTGTCAGCGACTGATGAGTACAAGATAATTCATTACTGTGATCACAACATAAAACACACACAGGAGTGGTCAGGAT